GGAACAGTTACACTGGCTGCCTCATCTTGATATTTTTTGGGCACAGAGACCAATCCAAATGTATTTGACATTCCTGTTTGGCCTGTGACTATTGCTTCCAAATATAGCATTGCATTTTTGAAAATGCATTTTGGGTTTTTATCAGCCTTTGCAGTAATGATGACCTTTAAAGTAGATGTGTCTCTTCTGCATCTAAACCAAGGACTAGAGATGGTAGCCTAAAAGTAGGAACCCATTTGGGAAAATGATGATGAACTTAAAACCCATAATGTCATTTTAGGTTGAGTTCCATGAGTGATTTCTCAGCATCAGAAAGTATGATCATGTCAGATTTTTACCTTGAATTTCCAGTTTGTCCCTCAACATCATGCCAGGATTGCTGGGATATTCAATGAACATCTCAGTTTCAAAAATACAATGGAATCAGGAAACTTGGGTTCAAATTCCAGTTCCTAGGCTGACTATATGGTATTGGACCCTTATCTTAACTTCTCAATGTGTGAAATGGAATAGGTTACATGTTGTCAAAAGTACATTGGACTAACTAGAGAAATGTGGATTAAAATTCTGTCTTTGGAGCTCATTCCATGAGACTGTGGGCAAGTCATGTGACCCCTCTGAGTCTGTTTCCCCCTCTATAAAATGGAAACAGTGCCTACATCCACAGGGCTGTTGTGAGGATGAAATGAAATCAATCAATCCAATACTGGATTGCTAATCCAGTATTCTTTCTCAGAAGTACCATACTTAATTTTGGTCCCATGCTTCTCTTTTTTCTCTTATTCATTTTGCCAGCTTCAGTGATAGTAACTTGTGCAGCCCATTTATCTACCTAAAGGCAGACATTGGGAGGAGAGATCAAAAACAATTGAGTGCAGGCACTGGGAAATAGTGTGAGCAAAAATAGATATGGGAAAAGGAAATAAAAAAATGAAGGGCAGTTAATAATAGACCGGTTTGGCTAGAATGTGGAGAACATGAAAGGCAATAACATCAAATAAGGATGGAAAGGTAGGTTAGAGTCAGTTTGATAGCCTGAAAATGTATGTCAAGCACATTACATACTTATAAATGGCATATCACTCAAATTCTCAAAATATACCAATGGATCAATGTGGGAATTCCCTTAATAGGGAAGAAGACAGCCCATCCATACCTGTTGATTTTGTGTGACTCCCATAAATTCAACATGGGGGATCCATCATCTAAGTCAGAGGTTCCCAAACTTTTTTGACCTACCATCCCTTTTTAAAAAAAATTACCCGGTGTACCCCTAGAAATCTACTTTCTTCAACCCTTTAACTTTTTAAAAAATTTGCATCATTTCAAAAAATATGAAATATACTTTTTCAAAAGTGGTACATCTTAAATTTAATAATTTATTGTGAATGTGTTTTTTTCCTGTGTTGAAATTTTGATGATGCAATATTGCATCATGTAACCATATAGTATCATACTGTAAACAAGTCATTACACATACATATTCCTCCTGATACATGCTGGACTTCCTGACAATGTGCAATATGCTCACCTACCAACACTTGCTTGTTAGCACCTGTCAGCGGACTTGACCACTGATCAATTATAACTTGCATTTTGTGTGCTTATTTGGAAAATAATGTAATCGCTATGACTTTAACTCTGTTACACAACAGATGAAACATGTGCAAAGGGTTTTTCATATTTTTCTTATCTTGTCTTCTTTCCTTATGTTTCCACCACCCCTTATTTTTATTCACATCCCCCCGTTTGCACCTAAGGCTACTACTGCCCCCCCCTGGATTGTTCCAGCACCCCTCAGGGGGTGGTATCACCCAGTTTGGGAATTTCTATGGATAGGAGCCTTCCTTCCTTTCATTCATTTGACATCTTATGGACAGATGTAGAGCATGAGACCTGCCTATTGGTTAGCCCATTTTTTCTCCTAGTCACACATTCTTTTGATAGCATCCTTTAGATCCTTTCTGCCCACTTCCTTCTTTGTATTGGGTAGCAACCTTCCCACATGTTCCCATAATGGGCCTCTCCATTATCATTCATGTAGTTTTCCTTTGCAGTTCTGTATAGACTAAAGAGTTCTGTGAATCACAGAAAAAGTCAGCTATTAATGGAAAGAGAAACAAAGAAAACCATATGAAGATAAAATTAGTGTATAGGTAGGAGCAGCTTCAGCTCTTGTGAAGAAACAGCCTATATAAATTATCATTAATAAAATCAGCAAAAGAAAATACAAGGAGAAAAAGAGAATCACAGGGACAAAATTAACCGTGGGATGTCTAATGAAAAAGCACACTAGATTAGTAATCCAGAACTGAAATCTTAAAGTCCAATTTTAATAGTTTTGAGCCAAAGCATTTGCCTTAATGAATTTGTGATCTTGTCAATGAGGTCATCACCTCCAAAAGTATAGACCTCCTCCATGTCTTTCATCTTCTGACTAGTATTCTTGTCCTTCCATAAATCCTCAACAAGAAAAAACATCTAATGTGCTAGGCATCTTGAGATTTAAAAAAAAAATGTTTCTTGGTACCAATAAAGCACATAAGTTGTTTATTTGTTCTTGCTACATGATTGACTTGCCATCTTTACTGGTCATACATTTCTTGGATAACTTTGTTCAACAAATATGTTGCAACATTAAAAGACAAAAATAATGCTAACTCGCTGACTCTTTTGCAAGGATGTTAAATTGTGCAATAAAGGAAGAGGCAGCATTATATGGTGGATAGGGGAGAGCTGGCCTTAGAATCAGGAAGTCCTGCTTTTGGTACCTAGTACTGAGTTTATGACCTTAGACAAGTCACTTAATCTCTAAGTGTGCTAGGCAGCTTTCTGTGATTCTAAGTTATGGAAGAGTTACTGTTATCTGCCTTGGTGGTAGGATTTTCCTCACTAGGAATTCCTTATACCAGTGAAATCACAGATCTGGCCCTTAAAAAGGCAAGGGGTGGGATGGGCATTTCTATAAAGCTTCTAATAGTTGAAGTTGGTCCATCATCCCAGAGATTTCTCCCCACTCATTAAGAAAAAAAATGCAGTGAAATTCAAAGAATATTAGAGGAGAAAGCCACCTTGCATTACTGCTCTACAGATGGAGAAGATGAGGCCCAAGGAGGTGATGACTTGTCTCAATGATTAATGGAGGAGCTTGGACTAGAATGCAAGTATGCTGATGCCCAAGCCAGCCTTCTCTCTACTATCCCACACCATCTTTCTTTCACTGTATTTGATTCTCTTCAGTAATAGAGAATGAAAACCTTAGCTGTTTGGTTTTTAAAGGGATCTATTCTGCCCCCTTGCTGCTTCTGTGTAGTTAGCATGGTCGAATATTACTTTTGCCTCTGAGCTATCAAAGGAAATGGAATTTAAGCAGCTGAGGTTCTATCTGTTCACAATGCAAAATAAATTGAGAACAATCAATTGTGCAATTAGAGCATGTAATCTCTGTCACATCCCCCAAGTTGATGTCATTTTTAACTTCCTGTCCTATCTCCCTAGCTCAGATTATGCTGTAATAATAATTATGCTTTACTAATAATTATTATACTTAATAATAACCATTATTATCCTCATCCCCTATCAGTCCATTGCTGTGGAGTTTTCCTGTGGATTGTAAGCTCCTCGAGGGTAGGGATTATCTTTTGCCTTTTTTTATGTTCCCAATGCTTAATGCAGTGCTTGGCAGATAATAAGTACTTAATAAATGTTTGTTGATTGATTGATCTAGGCTATATAGCATTAGGGATACTCAGAGACCTGGTGGAAGAGACAACTTCTTAGACACAGAGTCCTACTCCATTGTCTGTAAGCCAGCTTAACTTTTTCTTGTGTTGTAGACCCCCTTGGCTATCAAGTGAAATCTATAGACCCCTTTTCATATTGTCTTTAAATACCTGAAATAAAGTATATAGGATTACATAGGAAACCAACTTTATTGAAATAAAATTATAAAAAATACTTAAAGAAGAACATAAGATCACAGAACCCAGGTTAAAAGCCCTTGCTCAAACCCCTAACTTGATTTTATGTCCAGGCAACTTAGAGTTGTGATTTTTATTCTGTGGAGCTGAGAAACAGGGTTGAATCAAGCCAGCAGGGGGCATCATGAGTAGTGGAGTAGCCTCACCATAAGTAGGATTCTGAAATGGTCTATTTCTTCTGAAGAGGGGAAAAAACAAACAAACAAACAAAACCTCTCTGGTTTCTCCAAAGTAGGTAAAATCCAAGTCAACATGCTAGGTACTTGAGGCAAGTGGAAAAACTATGATACTTTGAACACTTCTAGAAGTTGTATTGATTTCTAACAAGTGCTAATCAAGAGAGTCCAAGATAAAAAATTATATATATATACATATATATATATATATATATATACTTCATTGTAATATGCTGCTTGTGATCTTTAGTCTTGCCTTAATGTCTATAATTCTGCCATTAGAAAATACTTCTTCATTTCCCAGCCAAGTCCCTTTTAAGTCCTCAATGGGCCTGGCTCTGTGTAGCTCTTGGTTGGAACTGAACTGTATTTCAAAATGTAAGACCACTGAGAATCAGTCTAGGGGGACAATAAGGAGTGAGGAGAATGAGGGAGTGGGTACCCCACAATCTTCAGTGAGCTCATGGTCATTAATCAATAGTAAGGCCCCGTGGTCTGGCTGCCAGCTGTGCCAGACAGAGAATGTCAGTGACCTTGGGGGCAGGCAGTGTTCACATAAACCCACAGCTGCATTTCAGACAGTAGCTCATTTGACAAAGAGTCAAAACCACCAGGATACTGATAGTACAATGTTGGCAAAGGAGGCAAGTGTTTCTGTTTCATATCTAACGGGACGGTACACATTCAGGCAAGACAAGAGAAAAACTAAATTTGGAGCTAACAGACTGCAGGCAGAGAAATTGGCTGTCTGTATTCAAGGCTCCTTTTATGGATGATAAAATGTATATAGAGATATGGATATGTAACCATATGTAATGCATTCTTGCGTTCTGTATTCTTGCAGTGGGCCACCCTATCCCTGTTCAACAGAATCTGCACCCGACACCAGAACAGATTGATGAATTGCATCAGACCTACCTAGAGGAGCTAAGAAAATTATTTGAGAAGCACAAAAGAAAGTATGGGATCTCAGAACAGGAAACTCTCATTTTTAAATAAAGATGACTGCAGAAGGTATCAAGGATGCCACGAGAACTGTCTGTCATTGAAAGAACTATCTCTGAATCCGTAACAACCGGTGTCTGTTTAAGACTGTGTTGTGCATTTAATGAATGTTTAAGAGTTATAAGAGGTCCTGAACTTTTTTTCTTTCAAATACTGTGTCAAATTATCACGCATTGCCTTCAGCCACAGTGATATTAATACGCAAAAATGCAAATAGAGTAGAAAGTTATTGGAAGCACCAAGGAAAAGATGGCCTATGCAAAAAAGTTAAGAATTATCCAAAGATAATTTCCTAACTCCATTTTTTGAAGGCTGCAAGCTATAAGGGTGATGGGAAGAGGTTAAGTTTATTTTTGTCAATCAATATTTATTAAGTACCAGGCTCTGTGCCAAGCTCTGAGGATACAAAGAAAGGTAAAAGGTAGACAATCCCTGCCATTCACTATATGCCAGGCTCTGTGCCAAGCTTTGGGGATACAAAGAAAGGTAAAAGGCAGATAATCCCTGCCCTTGAGGAGCTTACAATCTAATGGAGGAGACATGTAAACAATTACATACAAATTATATACACACATATATACATATACATATATATATATGTATACATGTGTATATACAGGATAAATTGGAAATAATCCACAAAGGAAAGGTGCTAGAATTAAGAGGAATCAGGAAAAGCTTCCTGTAGAAGGTGGGGCTTGAAAGAAGCCAGGAGGCAGAGATGATGGGGGAAGAGCATTCCATGCTTACATATTTCTCCAAATATTAAAGTTGAAATAAATTTTAGACCTTTAGGGAAAAAATAGGCCATTCATCTTAGGCAAGTTCCTTACGCTCTCTGAGTCTCAGTTTCCCTTATCTATAAAACGAAAGTGTTAGATAAGATGTCCTTTTGAAATTGCTCCCCACTCTAAATCTATGTCCCTATGGCCCTTCATTTCCAAAAAGCTTAAGAATGTTTTTATTGTAAGGTGCTGCTATTGTTCAGTAGTACAGGTAGACTATTGAGTTGCTAATGTATAACATCTCTTGCCAAAAGGAATCTGAGGTACAGTGATATTCCTGAACAATTGGGCCATTAGCTGATGCTGTTACTTAATATGTAAATATTCTGATTCTTTAGGGCATGGTAGCCAACTTATTTGTGGACTCTAGCACTTTTGTGCAGTTGTTGAATCTGTCATATGAAGGCCAAAGCTGACAATAGCAATCCTCAACCTCCCCACTCCTCCTTATTTGAATTCATGTTTGGGCATAGAGAAATATACTCATCTGTCATTGAGTCTGGCTAGCGAAGGCCCACACATTTTGGATGGATCAAAGTTCTGAGAGGTTTTCACGTGATGTGAATAGGTATTGAAAGTGGTCCAAGTGATTCTTGCCTTGCAAAAGAACCCCTGCTTGGGGCAGCTAGGTGGTTCAATGGATAGAGCACTGGCCCTTGAGTCAGGAGGACCTGAGTTCAAATCAGACCTCAAACCCTTACTAGCTGTGTGACCCTAGGCAAGTCACTTAATCCCAATTACCTCCCCCTCCCCCACAAAAAAGAACTCGTGCAGGTAGATGACCTTGTTCTACAGGATTTGTTCAGTCATTTCAATCATATCTAATTCTTCGTGACCTGGAGCAGCTTACCATTTCCTTTTCAATTTCCAGAGGAAGGCAGCACAATTTTTACAAAGGACACAGGGATAAGCTACCCCAAGATCTAGATTCAGAATCTGAGATTTGGAAGGGCCTTTGGCAGCCATTTAGTCCAACCCCAATACAAAAGGAATCTCCACTCTAAGTTAGTTAACAAATGATCATCCAGCCCTTCTTTGAAAGCTTAAATGTATAAGGTAAGGTGGTGCATTTTTGCAATGGGACAATCATAACAGAGAAAGGACAGTGAGAAACAAAGGCAATTGACCAAAGAAATAAAGCAATCTGTTCTCTTATTTCTAAGCACAGCACTTTTCTATGAGTGCTTGGCACTGTCCTAGGTGCTGAGGATAAATACAAGTCAGCTAATTCAATAGTCAAGGATATTTTAGTCTACTTGGGGGAATATGGAATGCAACAGTCACAGATATATACAAAATATATATCATGGGATGGGATAGGAGTGGAGGGACAAATAACTGGGGGAATCTGCAAAGGTTTCTTGAAGGAAGAGGCTCCACTTGACCCTTGAAGTGAACTAGGGATTCCAAGAAGCAGACGTTAGGAGGGAGAGCATTCCAGGTATACAGGACATCTGCACAAAGGCCCAACCATGGGAAATGAATTGTCTTGCATAGAGGATGGCAACTAAGTCAGTTTGGCTGGAGTATGGTGCGTATGAAGAGGAATAGTGATATGTAACCAGCCTGGGAAGGTAGGCTAGAACTAGCTTTTAATGGACGTTCGGTGTCAGATAGGAGTTTGTATCTTTTCCCCCTAAAAGCATTAGGAAGCCAGTGAAGTTTCTTAAATAGGGGAATTACAGGGAGACATGTGCTTAAAGACTGTCATTTTGGTCATGTGTGGAGGATGGACTGGAGAGAGAAAAGACTGGATGCTGGAAGAATAATTAGGAAGCCATTGCCCACAGGAGAGATGATGAGGGTCTGAACTATATCAATTAGTTTAAGATCACACATCCTTACCCACTTTGTTAGATCCTCAGAGCATCACTCAGTTGCAACAAAGTAGAGTATTTGATGTTTATGATGACTTGCAAGGTCATAACTTAAGTTTTGGGTGGGTCTGTACCTAGGATTTCATTGAGCAGGAAATCCCCAAATTGGAATCTCTCTCTTCTGATGCAGATCAATAGCTTGTCCGCAACTGCAAAGTTGGTACTGGGTGGTGGTGATGAGGAGAAGATGGGAGAGTAGGGGGTGGAGTTTGGGCTGAGAAGTAAACGTTATGTCCTGGGTTACTAAGTACGTGTCAGAAGCAGTTCCTGAACTCAGGTCTTTCTGATTCCAAGGCTGGCTCTCTATCCACTGCACCATAACAATATGGGACTCTTTCAAGGCTCTAATCTGAATGAGTACACTTTAAATCCATTGGTAGGCAAGTCAAATGCTGGCAGCTGTGGTAATTCCAGATTTTCTTTTTTAAAAAGGAATATATTAAAATTACAGAAGCTAAAAAGTTTGTAGTTGGACCTTGGGGTTGAGTTGGCTATCTGTCATAGAGAAAGTTGATTCTTGTACCATTTTCGAAAACCATGCCACCTGCACCCCAGTCATTATCTTCATCTTCCCTTCCCCTTACTCTCCTAGAACCTTGGCCTCTAGAACCACCTTAGGCTCTGATAGGAGAGCTTTTGCCTTATTCTTAGCCTGGAATTTAGGCCACCATTTCCAAACCATGCCAACCTTTTCCAAGCTTCCTTTTATGTGCTGTCATCTCATTGTTAGAATATAAACTCTTGAGGGCAGGGACTGTTCTGTTTGTATTTGTATACCTGACCCTTAGCTTGGTACTGGCACATAGTAAGCACCTAATAAATGCCATATTTATTCACTGATCTATTTTTCTAACCTATTTTATCTAATTTATCTAAACCCTTCCCTTTAGACATCACTTCAATGTTCGTGGTCATCAAGAAAAGGTTAAATAATGATCTGTACTCTGTTTACGAAAGCATGGAAGTATATAATGCATTTTTGGAAAATATCATCATCAAAAAATTTAGATGCTTAAAGGGACAGGCTTTAGAAAATTCATTTATATAGATATCACCATTTGATAATGTCAAACAAATGAAGTACTATGTACTTTTGCCCTATTGGGTTTTGCCCTATTGGCATCTAGGTTCATTCTTTTGCCTACTAGCAATCACAGCAAAAAAAAAAAAAAAATGGATCAAGCCTTCATCCTTTTTGGCAATATCCATATATAATTCCCCTTTGTGACTCAGTTTAGTTTGAATTCAGATTTTAGCCTAATGCTTTAATTGTCTACAATTCACCCCCATCCTCATGGAGCTTGAGGAAGTGCTCTCTTTTTCCCATAGTACATTTCCCATTTCTTCATTCCCCTCCATGCCAAAACTCCATTTAAAATTGCTCCCTTTCCACTGGATTTGACTTTACTTTCTAGATTTCCTAAAAATATCTGTGCTTTATTTAAATTAAAATTTAGGTTTTTGAATAAACAAACTGATTTTCTCTCCCTTAAATCCCCAACCCCACCACCATGGAAGGGGTAACCATTGTAATAAATATGCATACTCAAGCAAATCAAATTCCTTCCAAAAAATATGTTTCATTCTGCCAAAAAAAAAAATCTGTGATTTTAAAGATCCACTTCTAAATTATTTGGAAACAATTAGATTTAAAAAAAAATCTTATCCTATTTCCTCCACTGTTCCCCTGGGACACATTATAAGTGTGGTAATTAGATAACCAGACTATCAGTATTTTACTGCTTGGATTTTCTAGAATCTCAAATAACCCAATATACAATGTTCATTGAAAATTTAATATGACTAATCATTGGAATCAACCTTATTTGTAGGGACATAGTCTCGAGAAGCTTGCACGTATTTTATTCTTATGTTGGCTTGTGTCATATGATTTTAAAACTTATTTTTATATCTCAGTGTTTGCCATCACATATAACTTCAATTGGCTTGGCCTCTTCTGGGATTAGGTGATAATAGGATATGTTACATGCTTTATTAAATATACACAAAATCACTATTTTTCCCTAAGTTGGGGATACATAGCACAAATACCTTATAATGTTGAAGAGTTTTCAAAGTACTTTCATGTATAGTATTTTTTATGATCCTCACAACAAGCTTATAAGGGTAGACAGGATAGGTGATCATAAACCCATTTTATAGATGAAGAAATTGAGGCACGGGAAAGATCAAATGACTTGGCTAAATTTATATACCTAATAAATCTTCTGAATGCAGCTTTCTTCTCAGTATTCTTCTTGTTCTCATTTTTCCCTATAATCTTTTTTATTTTCTATCATAATCCACAGGTCCAGGAGAGGATCTGAAGGTCATGTAACAGAAATACATATCAATAAATGACACTAGAATAAATTTCCTCTTTATATTTCCTGTTGAGTACATTTA